GATGGTATTACTTGAACTTTATAGGAATTAATGTCTTTCCCAAACGTATTCAGAGAGAGATTTGACGGACTTAGGAAAAGCCTTGTATTACATAAAGACAAAAATTTCGATAAAAAAGATGATGGAACTTCTGTTTGTTTGGCCAAATGATTTTTCAGGCAGGTTACAGCGTGAGACGCACTGTCTGTATACGGTCCGTTTAGCAAGACGTTGAGCAGGGGTGATCTTTTGAACTGTTCTATAAATGGCGAAACCTCCCTTAACAATATGGCATCTTGCCTCGATAAGAGCATGCAGAATTCTTTCATTAGAATTGCGAATTCCTGTGTGGTTAATGGATCATGCTGAGTTAAATAGTCCATGATAGAATCTAAAATTTATTTTCCAAACAAGATATGGTTATCGCAGCCGTAAACGTAACTTTATTTTTGGCAGGATTATAATCGTAACTACCTATACAAGCGTTATAAACGTGCTACGATTATCGAAGTATTTATCACTGAAACTTTCATCAAATACTAGGACCCATAAAAATTTCGGATGATTAATTAACTGCCGATTATGAAACATACGTGGATAATATATGTTTAAATACTTTTGGTTGTAACGAAAGCATCCAGACCCCGGTGTCGAGCATTCACTTTTTTCAAGAACCTCTAATCTTTTGATAATTTTATCAGATTTGTAGCCTTCGTCTATTTGGGCAACAGCTTTTCGCAAAGTGTCTTTAACTACTCATATTGTCTTGTTGAAGGAAGATCCACACCAATGCACAATAGAATGGTATTATACCTATACGGTAATGGTATATACCTATGAAGTAATCGACTTTCTTCACTTGGATATGTTGTTGTCACTGTTTTCCAAAAATGAGCGATGTGAGTCTTGTCATCAAGGTTAAATGGTCCAAGATGATACACGTTTTTCATAATACTGCAGTCACTCACCATCGTGAATAAAGAATAGTAGACGAGCATAATTTAGATACCAACGCAAAACTTTTTTTAATTTTTTACTCCTTCAAGTAAACGGTATGAACTTGTAATCGAACATACCTACCCACCTGGTTTTCAAAGTATTTTTTGTTCTCTTACTACTAGAATTCTCATTAAAAAATAATCATAGATAAACCTTCCCGGTCCATTTAATCCTTTCCGATTTTGAGCATAGAATGCTGGACCAAGAGTCGTAACCACAAACATAAGGAGTTCGACAGTAATTTGCATACGCGTGTTTGAATGTTTGACTGTAAATCAATGGAAATACAACAGGGAGAATTTTAAATACTCCATCGTGAAATTTCCCTTCGGTTTCCGTGCGAATCATCGCGGATTGTCAGCACACCCACAAGCGCGCTGAGTCCCGGCTATGCTGCTACTCTAACGTCAGCGTAAATCCACAGCGCACCCACCATCCGACTGAAATCCGCGGTGCTGAGTGCTCCGAATAGTATTACATATGTAGGGATGAATTGAATGATACTAAGCTCAAGGGTACTGGATACAACAAATTTAATATAAAAAATGGTACATCGAGCTATGAGTTAATTTTGCAGTGTGAACAATTACCCTCTAAGAGCAGTGATGAAAGAAAGCGTAAGCTTTAATAGCGTGCGGGCGTACTCTTACAACAATTTATACAAGAACTTATACAATAAATATCAGAACTGGACACGCGAAGGAGCTTGAGCTTATCACTAAAGTTTTCATGTAACCACACTGTGATGAGTAAAAATACATATAAGTAATGATACCTAAATGCAGAATTTTGAATTATATTTTACTAATTCTTTAAAACTTCAACAGTCTCCACGGCGTTGGATGCCAGTCCAACAGCCCAAATAATGCCAATTTCTTGCCTGCAAATTAAAAATGTCCTTCCGAGAGGTTTTTGAACGATGAGTAATAAAATATCAACGCACTTTTGTATAACAGTTTTTGGTGTAGGTACACATTGATGAAAATCATTCCAATCTCAAACGCAACTGATTTGTTAACGGAACAACACACACACTTAATAGTATTCGCAATTATTGTACAATTTCCAAGATTAAGTCGAACTCAAAATGTGACGCATTTTCTTTGAACCTCAATTCCGTGCCTGACTGTCATCCGTTTGATGATAAAAATTTCACTTTTTCGCGTAACGAAGCACTCGATCGACATCACGCTGGTTTAAAACGCACAAGTTTTTGAATGCCAGTGTAGTACACCGGAGAATATATTTCAAACTCCGCCGTGGTGCGACAGCTCGAAAGATCCTGTTTTTGTTCTGGCGTATTTGCAAAAGTTTTGACAGTTGTGATTTGAAAATTCTGTGTTGTAAAGTATTCTTGCAATTTTGGAGCGGTTGCTCGGTGCCTTAAATTAGATTGAATGCATTTGTGCTCAATCTTCATGTCCAAGTTTTCTGCGGAGGGCCACTGCCACAAAGGTCGATTTTCTCTCGACTGCTCAATCCAATGTTCACGTTTGAACTTAGACACATTCGTCAATTTCTTCCTACATACGGGAACGGTTCTTTTGGTATCTGCCGAAGACTGAGCTTCCTGATTTTTATTTGATCCTTTTATATCGCTTGAAAATCTCGGTGTTGTAAAGTATTCCTGTAATTTCACATGGTGCGTGTGGTGTTGTATTCTATAATAATTTGAAAATGAGCAGTTCCTTTTCTTCAAACTCATACTGTGCGATTTTCTTGACCATTTTGCTTCCTGTCTACGGAGAGAGTATCGAGCCCAATAAGTTGAAAGGGAAATTTTTCGAAAAGCCAAATTGGAATTCTCCATATTTGTCCAGCGAAAAAATAATCACGTGATCAGTATGAGATTTAGAAACACTTTGTTTTCAAAGACTTGTGCTTCAAGTGGCCAAACCGTTACCGAAATTGTTTTTTCTCTCCAAACTTCACTCACGTCACTCAGTTACACTTTACCAATTTACACTGCGTGACTGTTGCAGCATCAGTAGTCCTACGCCATCCCCACCCCTGTCAACTACCACCACCTTGTCAGTGATAAACTACCCACCGTATGGTGCTGCTCTCTGCTGGGCATCCACCGCACTATAGCTGCTCTCTCTCTATGCTACTCTCTGTACTACTATGCTTTTTACCTAAATAAAATCGAGAAGACGTGACGTTAATTAATTAAAAAATTTGGAAACGTCCTTTACCACAGTCATTAATTGGAGAATTAAGAGGGAAGGATAGATCACCCCGAAGTTGCTATGTTCAAGGTATCTGTGGTCGTTATGAACAGAAAATTAAGTCTCCGTAGTTTTTCCTTCATATTTTTCATAGAGATTTAATGAATTTACTGTTAAGGAGTTTACCGTCTAATGGTTGGCGTTTATGGAACCAATCATTAACTCAGAAATCGTGCACTCCCATTGTCACCGGAAAAGTGTCTCTTCACCAAAGGTGGTCTAGTTTATCCAAAATTTCTTGAAAACCTTTATAGTTCCTAAATTTAAAGACTGTACTTATGGTTTTCGATTACAAATTCTGGAAAGTTAAATCTAAGCGCTTAAGTACTGAAATTGACTTGAGGTATAATGATTGCTGGAGGTATGAAATTTTATGCCCAATTCCCTTTTTTTTTGATAGGTAATAAAAAAGGGAAAAAACAATGAAACACATGAAAAACCGGTGGATAAAACGTGTTTTGATACACAGCAAGGACGGAAATTTGAAGAAAGTTTTTGACGTATTTGAATTGCAGTTGCATATTTAGTTGCATTCAATTTTAAGAACATGATTATCATATTTCATAGCCCGATGCGTTTTAATATTGGTATTGGGGGAAAGGGGTGGAGAATCAAGCAAAAATCAGAAGGGGGGGGGAGCGAAGAAAAATTAATGGAAACGTGTGATAACAATATTTCAGAAGGAGAAATTGCCGCGGCTTAGGTGGACAATTAACTGAAATGATCGGTTACCGAGCGAAACGTGTCAAGAATTTGACAAGACGAAAAAATTAACCGTCCGGGTGTTTCGTCGTTTTCACCTTCATCTTACCAGCGTGTCAACGAACTGTGCTCGGCTGGTAGTGCATTCAGACGCGACCTGGTGCAACCCGCAGGAAGCGAAGGAGCCGAGGGATGGACAAGGAGGATGACTCAACGGTCAACCATGGGTCAACGTGGACCGTATGCAGGATTCGCAGTCCAGCGAGCCGCGGCGCGCCCGAGCAGGCGACCACTGAGCGATGAGAGGGAATAAGGAGGGAATAAACTGGCGTTCTTCATTTGCCTCTCAAGATGGGATATGAATACGAGTGTCATTGGCATCGCCTCTTTGAGGGCAATCGAATTAGACGGCTAATCGATCGCGTTCTGGGATGGGTATTGCTTTCGCCGCAATATGCCTCAGGTATCAAGAACTAAGAGCGGGCGCCGGACAAAAAGGTTTGGGTTTGCGAACGGAGAGGGCATTCGAAATTAAGGCCTCTCAACTCGCGAGCGAGGAGGCGATGCATATGAAATCCTGGAAATCGGCGTTCGCTCTTAAGAACCCTCTCGACCCCTGGTCGGGAGATGCTATTGAGGAGAAGTTTTGAACGAGGGTTCATTTTTCGACCGCCTGTGGAGTTGTGCCTTACCCTCCAAGCACCAGTTGAGCATTAGTGAGCTAACCTTGCGTTTTGAATTGCCTCATTTATTGCGCTAGTTTTTTACGTCAGTCGGCTTTGTACGGTTGTTTGAGATGTTTGATATTACATCTTTGCCTCCGCTCTGATGCAGCTCAGTCGGGCTTGATACCATATCTCCACAGAGGAACCAGGGGCGGCGCCTATCCTCGCATCAGGTATATTCGTGTCAGTCCAGCCATCAAGCTTCTCATCATCTCTAAAACGGCCCTTCTCACACTGGCCACCACATTTCTTCAGCACTCGTATTCGTGACATTCAATGTCGAAGAAACGCTTCGATTGAGCTCACGAAGTTATATCAAAGTCACTGTCTCTGGGCCATTTTTCATTCACGTAATCTGGAATCAATCATGAGCGTTTTCAGCTTGAGCGATATAGATATGAGAGATCCGGCCAAGCTAAAACAATATGCGGCAGATACTCAACTTAAACAATTACAATTCGCTGTCCGTTGTAAATCAATTGAGGAAAATTTGACTCTCCTCCGTCAAGAATGTGAGTTTATCAAGGACGCTAAACGAAACCTGGAAGAACAACCAAGTCACTTCAACTCCGACAACAAGCGAGCCATGATGAAGTGGAGAATCAAGTTACCTTCATTCCGCCCCGAAATGCCCGACTTATGGTTCATCCAAATCGAAACCATTTTTGCCAATTTCGGTATTACAGCCGAAATTGACAAGTACCACACCGTAATCAGTCAAAGCGAAGGTGAATGGCTAGTCGAAATAAACGACTTAATTCGAGCTGGACCGAGTTTGAATATTCCCTACACAACTCTGAAAAAGGAGATAATTAATCGCTTTTCACTCGACGAAAATCCACGCCTCAAGAAAGTAATCGAAGGAGAAGAAATTGGAGACTTAAAACCATCCCAATTCCTACGGCGACTCAAAACTGTAGCAGGCAGCGCGCTGATTACTGACAATATCCTGAAACCACTATGGCTAAGTCGACTACCCGCTTACGTACAATACATTCTGCGAGCCCAGCCTAGCAATAACACTCTAACCGAGATAGCCGATGTGGCAGATCGGATCGCGGAAACCATCCCTCATTCTGTGCATTCAACCTCCACAACAGCTCCAATCAATTCTCCCACGGTTCAGCAAATTAGCAAACCAAATCCACTTGCTAACATCAATGAAATGCTAACATCCCTTACCCACAAAGTTGATCTAGTGGATGTCAAGGTCAAAAATCTGGAGAGAAACATCGACAGAAGGAAAAGCTGTTCCCGCCCCAAATCTCGCTCGCGCTATAGCTTACCCAAACCGCGCAAATTTTGCTTCTACCATGAAAAATTCGGGAGAGAAGCCCGCAAATGTCAACAACCGTGCAAATTCTTAACAAACGACAATGGCAGCCAATAGTGGCGGATGTTGGCTGCCACACATCAAAGACAAAGATATTTGCAATATATGCAACAACATATTTTTAATAGACACAAGCTCTGACCTATGCTGTTTCCCTAGACGCCTACTACCGAGTCATTTAAAATCAAGTAACTATGAGCTAGAGGCACCTCACGGATTTTATATTAAAACCTTCGTGTTCCTACCCATGAAGTTAGACTTCGGTCTACGCCATGCTTTTACCATCTAAGTCCGGTTCATCCAGCAAACTCAACAAATCGTTGATTTGTTTATCTCTGAAACTGAGTCGATTCGTGATCTTTTACATTTTAAAGCGAACTTAGAACTCATCACGAACTTCTATTCAATAACAACAATCTTTTCTGACTTCTCAGAAAAACCATGATACTAAAAATGTGAGGTTAGGTTCGCGCGGGAAAGTGTTGACGTCATTTGGTTATGTTGTCCACAATTATGAACATGAACTTTTAAAAAATAACCGAACGTACGAGAATTAAGGGAAAGAAATTGGAAGTGAAGAAATCATCGCTGCAACCTTCCTCTTTGGAGTTATAAACAACATAACTCGAAAAAAAAAATACCTTTGACTATTAATGGTCGTGTTTAGTTAACCAACCTTCAGTAGCTGATTTCGGCAACCTTTACCGCCAACTGCTGACGTTCATAAAGAATTCTAGGCTCACCCGAGAGAGTGCAACACCAATTAGGAAAAACAAGGAGGGTTGACGGAGGGCTTTTACATATACACCCAGCGATAACCTTAACAATGGGTCTGTTTCACCTATTTATTTAATTCATTTTCTAATGAGATGCATCTCACCGAGCTTCATGAATTTCCCCCAGAATTTTTGGACCCTCCAAACACCCCAAAAATGCTCCTAAAAGTTCAAAAAACATTGTCGCAATAATTTAAAAGTACAAATGACGGGAGGGTGAAGCCATTTTGTAACGTCAAATCCAATAACCTACGTTCGTTTATTTTAGAAATACATGAATTTCGCCAAAAGGGATCAAGCGGCAAAATTCATTAGTAAACCCTTGATGATTTTTGTATTTACTTTCTCTTGGAGATATTGGAATGTGTAAAATTTCAGTTCTTTCTTTTTTAATAATTCAATTAGGGTCTTGAACTTTGTTCCTTCTGTTAGTTGAATTTTAATTTGGTTCTTCGAGATAATTCTTAATTAAACAATGTAATTAATGGCTTATGGTTTGTTTCTACAGTAACTTTCGACATAAACAATTAGTCATGAAACTTTGTACAACGAAATAAAATACCTAAGCATTCTTTTTCAATTTGTCCTGCTTTACTTTGAGCTTGTGTTAGTGTTGCAGATGCATATGCGATTAGAATGTTATTTTGCAATATTACTGCCCCTACAGCATCTTTTGAGGCACCAACATTGAGTAATTAGGTAAATTTACATCGTAGTCCGCTAGCACCGGAGCTTTCGTTATTACATCATTAATTTTATCAAATTCGTCTTGATGTATTTTTTCCCACTTAAAATGAACTTTTTTCTTGAGCAATTTACGCAAATTTGGGATTTCTAATTGAAAATCTTTAACAAAACTGGCAATGTAATTTATCATCCCTAAAAACCGTTGTAGCTGTTTTAGTATTCTTAGACGTTTTAAGTTTTGGATTGCTTTAATTCTTTTGGGATCGACTTTGACGCCATCTTTTGACCAAACATGTCCTAAAAAATCTATACTGGATTTTGCAAATTTACATTTTTCAAATTAAATTAAAGACCTAGCTCTTCTGCTCTCTTGAGTACTTTTTTGAGCGTCTCATCATGTGTCTTTTTATCTTCATAAATCAAAAAATCATCAGTATAAATTATCAAATTCGGAATGTCTCCAAATAATTCATACATTTAGCTTTGGAACATTTCACTTGCACAAGTAAAACGACAGGCAAGTCTCAAAAATTTAAACCTCCCAAATGGAGTGGCAAAGGTTGGTATAGCTCAGAGCATTCTTCGTCTAATTCTAGGGCCCAAATGGCTGATTTGACATCCAACGCTGGAAATACAGTTGAATTTTTTAATTTTCCTTTAACATCATCTAATGTTGGAATATAATGTTTTGGCGTTATAATCTCTTTATTTAAGGCATGAGGATCTATGCAGATTCTTACTTCTCCATTCGGTTTTGACGCTGTTACAATCGGATTTGCCTTTAAACCTCCCAAATGGAGTGGCAAAGGTCGGTATAGCTCAGAGCATTCTTCGTCTAATTCTAGGGCCCAAATGGCTGATTTGACATCCAACGCTGTAAATACAGTTGAATTTTTTAATTTTCCTTTAACATCATCTAATGTTGGAATATAATGTTTTGGCGTTATAATCTCTTTATTTAAGGCATGAGGATCTATGCAGATTCTTACTTCTCCATTCGGTTTTGACACCGTTACAATCGGATTTACCCACTCAGGATAGGCTCCGTTACTCTTTCAATTACTCCTAATTTCATCATCCTTTGCAGTTCTTTCCAAACTCTCCTACGCAATTTATAAGGAATTTTTCTTGGCGGCTCAGCCGTCGGTTTCGCACTAACATTTATTTTTATTTCACACTTGCAATTTTTTATCAACTTTTGAGGGGCGCCAAATTTTGGGTTTTTTTCCCAAACTCTGCAAAAAATTAAGAATTGCGTCGAGAGTTCAGAAACGCTGATTGTTGATTGATTGTATTGCGTTCCATCTTTTAAATGACCTGACTCTAGACTCTAAGGGTCAAACTTTCACTTAGTTTCGTAATTAACAGTAACAGGAACAGGTACCTGGTTTTGGTTTCTGCCACAGAATCATTCACTCACTCGAAAAGTTCGGATTTAATTAGAATTAGCATGTTGTAACCGAAGAAGACCGTCGGATTGGGAAATGCGCGGGTTGGAGGAAGGGTACGTGCGAGGGGACGGACGTGCGAGGGGGACGTGCGAGGGGGGCGCCTCGAAAATTTCGGCACAGGGCGCCAAAAACGTAAATCCGGCCCTGCCGGAATGGACAAAGAAGCTATTCAAAATGAAGCCATCAGATGAGATTGCATACCTAATTAATGTTAATTATGCCTTTGTAGGATTAAAGCAATTTTGACCCTCTACGGCATGATGAGCTGCGCATAATTGAATCACTGTCAAATTTCGGGATAACATTTGCTTTACCTAGTTTAATTCTAATCTTGATTTAAAGTCTTGATGTCTTGAAAAAATAGATCAACTACATTTCAACAGATAAATGCCTATCGAAAATCATCTTCAGGTTTGTCGAATGTCTTAGCCAGACGCATTCTTCACAATATTTGCTTCATGACTGAAAAAGGTGGACTTGATAATTCCTATACTAATGACTTATTTCTATGTTTGAGAAAATGACGAGGGTAAAATGATATGCCTCAACGAGGCTAGAAGGAAAAAGCAGAAAACGAGCACGTCATTCATGAGAGAAATCGACGCCCTTATTGAATAGAGATAACAGGTTGCTTGGACCAGGTTACGGCCTCAGACGGCTCGCGCCTTAAAGGATAGGCTGCTCGCTTGATTGGCATGCGGCATCGATATTGCAACTTTTTAATTCCCGGCTGAGTAAATGAACTTCATGGTTTGTGCTTTTCAAGTGCATTAAATGTAAACAACCGTCTGTATAATGATCAGTAGATAAACATCGAAGACATGCACGTGGGTCAAATGAAAGAAATGTTTCTAAATTTTCATCTTCGTACGGAATGATGATAGTGCCGGGTAAAATATTTTCTGTATTCTTACGGTGAACGGTTAATTCTATCCGTTGTGGATATGGTAGAGAAAAGCCCGAAGTTTTTTCGATGGGCCCAATTTTTTCAAAATATTTGGAGAGAGCTTCTACAATAAGTTTATCTGGTAATTTCAGATGCAGGTTCCATAATTGCAACTTGATATTTGAACTTGTCACACCTTTAACAGGAAATACTACAGAAAAATATTTTTTCAACACAGACATTTCGAAAAGGGTACCCATTGAAAATATGAAGACAAAGTATATTCTCATACAAAAACGGTGATATAAGAAGACTTGAGGAGACATGGATTCGTTTGGGACGAGATGTTGAAGGAGATTGATCATTTATTCACTATGTACTACTTTTATTCTTTTGGACTGGTGCTTTACTCTATGGGCATAAAATTTGCATGCAACCGAGTTCCTTTTAGCATATATAAGTAAATAAGTACGTACAAATGTAGATTTACATATTTAAACAAAAGAAACAATAGTGGAAAAAGAAACAAAATGGACTCTTTTGAGTTTCCAAAGAAAAATATCTTGCATCTCAGGCAGAAATACCAGAATGTAGGCAACCACATCAAGCCGCACTAGGTTAAGTTGGGTTAAGCAGCTAAATCAACTTCGAGGTGGAACAAAAAAAAAAAAAAAACAAGCAATCTCTTGAACTTGATGAAAAAATAAATATCATACAAATTAATCCGATCATACATACTCAATATAATAAATCAGTGCCCATATTCCAAGTAAACTTTAAATACAATGATAAACTTAAAGAAACTCTTGAAAAAATTGAGAGTAAAGACAAATGTGAAATAAAAATTGTAAACTTGATGTTAAACATAGGGTGATTCCATAATGCCGTCGCTGTCTTAGCCTAAATCATACTAAAAACTATTGTTATCAAAAGTTAAGATGTATTATTTGCACAGAATTTCTTCATAAAGACCGTTTTCCTATACTTGAAAAGAATAATAGAGAAAGTACCCCAGTGATAACGAGACACGACAAAACACCTTCTAGAACGCGCATGAGTGTACAAACTTCCTGAGCCGACTGTACTAGTTGCTCAAAATGAATTAATTGAAAAATTAATTTGATTTTTCTTTCTACTCATTTTCCAGGTAAGAAGATAGAGATGGTCCCTACTACTCTGCAGGAAAACCAGGTCTTGATTTCCCACAGCATAGTGTGAATCCAGCATTCTTCTACCTGCCATATTTTATTTAAAGTTCTGGTGTCACGTTTTTAGAACAATTCTTTCTTGCTTATTCTTGTATTCGTCCCTGGCAGACTCCAAGACTCCAGCAAAGTGTCACTTACTTTTAGTTATTGCTCAGAGATAAATACCTAGAAGATAGGTAATCTTAAAGGGCCCTGAAGAAATTTCTTTCGGAACGATGATTTAAATTACGTTAAACTCAACCGAAAGAAGAGCTCCAATGCAGGGTTGTTTTGTTTTGTTTTGTTTTGTTTTTTTTTGAGGGAATAATGCAAACAGTGAAGCCAGCTTCTTCCTCGGCAACAATAGTGTTAATACGAGACATACCGTGGGTCATTTCCAGTCATCATCACATTCGATCTGGGGTATATCCCCGACAGGAATGAAAAAGGAATTCGCCGCAGGCTCTGGATTTGTTTCCATTTGATACTGAAACAATCAATAGGTAATTAAACATTCCTTATCATCTTTTGGGGTTACAAAATTTCACTGTCTATAATTGATACAACCGTGGAAGATGATTTTTTTATAAGACCACTGTGTTGTCTATTATCTAAGTGCATAAAAAAAGGCAATGCTATTGAAAATCTACTCTCTCGGAAGCGAAACCTTTCACAAAAAGCTAATACCATGCATTAATACATCATACAAACAGAGCGTTCGTTGTGGCCTGCTGGAGTACTTCAATGACTGAGGCTAACTAATAGGCACCTCCATTAGTAACATTGTTAATTTCCGTTCATATTTTGTATTTTACAGGAAAATTGCTCGACGTTTCTGTTGAAATTTTCAATTTTCCCCCTCACAATTCTCTCTAATTGTTTAATCAATAAACAATATCAAAATGATCAATTATAATTTGTATTTTGATTTTTCATGTGCAGGATACGATTTTCATGGTTTACTGCGTTAGTAGTCCAGGCAATATAGGATTTTTGAGGGAAAGTTTAGTCGAACTAGCAATTATGGGCTAACTTTATGTTTTTTGGGTCGTAGAATCCGAATTTCAACTTGCCTGACAGATCCGACCCCTCCCCCGGCCGCCATTTTGAAAAAACGCCTAAAATTTACGGTTTTTCCCCATTTTTCGCTCATAACTTTTTTTCTGTTCAAAATATCGGAAATCTCGTCACTTCTGTGGAAAGACGATTAAATTTGCAAGAGATTGGTGTATACATATGTACACTTAACGTGAAAATAGTGAGAATGGGAGCGCGGCGAAGGCAGCGGGAGATTTCGATTTTGCGCCATTAGATACGAGGGTCATCCAAAAAGTAAGGTTCCCTACCTTGTATCTTCCGAGCTAAAAGAGATAAATCAAATCGGTGAAAAAGCACATATTAGGCATGCTCTAAGCTTTAAAACAAGCTCAAGTTTTTGAAAATCGGTCAAAGAATCTGCGAGTAAACTTAATTTTACTGAGACAACCTCCTGTCGCCGCGTGCCCACCTCCGGGGTCAGGATGCACGGAGAATCGATTATCGAAGACTCGGGTTATCGCCTCTATACATCACATCAACAAAGAATTATAAAGTTTTCATTGAGTAGGCCTTATCTTACTTTTTGACGTAGTCCCCACATCTTTTTTGACATTTCTGGTATTATTACAGCAGCTTCTTGATGCCTTCCGCGTAGAAGCTTTCGCCTTGACTCCAAAACCAGTCATTGACAGCGATCTGCACTTCCAGATCAGTTGAGTAGGGTAAAAATAGCGACTTTAGCGCAAAAGTTTTTAGCCAAATTGTGCAGAAAAATACGAATTAAATTACAGCGTTGTATAGGGATTATTGTTCAATATGGCAACGGTGTAAAAAGAAAGTATTGCATGTTGCCCCTTCAATATGCGGGTTATGCAATCGTGTATGAATGCCCCTTCATTTTTCGGGTTATGCAATGGTGTATTTTTCAAGATGNCCCTACTCAGTTGCTTTGCGTAGGGAAATTTTCCCCCAATCCTTCAAACTCTCTTACTTTAGCTTCATGTGACTTTCAATCGTTCCCGAGCGGAAAAACTTCCACGATGGAAGCGATTTTCAACCGATTCAGAGGTATAGATAGATAGCTGTCAATGACTGGTTTCAGAGTCAGGGCGAAAGCTTCTATACGCGGAGGGCATCAAGAAGCTGCTGTAATGATACCAGAAATGTCAAAAAAGATGTGGAGACTACGTCAAAAGGTAAGGTAAGGCCTACTCAACAAAAACTTTAAAATTCCTTGTTGATGTGATGTATAGAGGCGATAACCCGAGTCTTCAATAATCGACTCTCCGCGCATCCTGACCCCGGAGGTGGGCACGCGGCGACAGGAGGTTGTCTCTGTAAAATTAAGTTTACTCGCGAATCCTTTGACCGATTTTCAAAAACTTGAGCTTGTTTTAAAGCTTAGAGTATGCATGATATGTGCTCTTTTACCGATTTGATTTATCTTGTTTTGCTCGGAAGATACAAGGTGAGGAACCTTACTTTTTGGATGGGTACTTAACACCCTTTATCCCTGCGACCCTTTACGTGTAAGTCATAGTATACTAGCGGTTATTTCAATGTATTATTTTATTAATCCCATTACATGAATGACTGGTTACGGATGTAGACAAAATCAAAAATATTTTCAAAATGTGGACATGTTTGATAAGTAAGTGAGTTAGTCCAATCGTGGGCGTTTGACAGTTCGGTGAAACGAAGTTCCAACTTTTGGTGGCGGACAGGTGGATGGGCCTGGTTCTCCTCCATAGACATCACGGCCGGCGTTGATCTCCGACTCTAACATAGTATCCAGAATATGAAGCTAGAAGTCAGACAAAAAAAAAAGAAAAGAAAAGAGGAAAAAAAGGAACCTAAATTGATGGAAGATTAAAATTTTTGCATCACTTATTCCAAATAGAAAAAGCGTTCTGGTTTACTGTATCTAGCAGTCTGGTGTTCATATATGGTGTGTATTTCTGATAATCCTAACCGAAATTTTTGGTAATGATTATCAGGAATAGGTACATGTCACTAACGAACACCTGATTGTTTAATAAAGCTTGTCATGGTATTTTTTCTATGCTAGAAGTTTTTGATAACAAGCGAGCAGTGTGAAAGAAATAACAAACCTTTAGGTTCATTGTTTATTTCTGAATGTGGGCTTTCTGGAAGGTCTTGAACTGCAGTCATGACAGCTTCAAAATCTTCCTCTGTACTTGGCTCGTCGAAAAAGTCATAAGCTTTAATATCATCCTCGTCCTCAGAGTCCGCTAAAGCAATTTCAGGCATGTTTTCGCATGTATCACTGCAGTTGATGCACAATGCTGAGCATTTAAGCCCACATTTCCTGCAACCGCACGCACCTCGACAACTCGTTTTGCACTTGCAGGATTATCAGAAATACACACCATTTATGAACACCAGACTGCTTGATGCAGTAAACCAGAATGCTTTTTCCATTTGGGATTAGTGATGCGAAAATTTTAATCTTCCTTCAATTTAGGTTCCTTTTTTTCCACCTTTTCTTTTCTTTTCCTCTCTATCCTTTTCTTTCCTTTCCTTTTCTTTTTTTTCGTCTGACTTCTAGTTTCATATTCTGGATACTGTTATAGAGTCGGAGATCAACGCCAGCCGTGATGTCTATTGAGGAGAACCAGGCCCATCCACCTGTCCGTCACCAAAAATTAGAACTTCGTTGCGCCGAGCTGCCAAACGCCCACGATTGGACTAACTCACCTACTTATCAAAGATGTCCACATTTTGAAAATATTTTTTATTTTGTCTAAATCCTTGACCAGTCATTTATGTAATGGGATTAATAAAATAATACATTGAAATATCCGCTTGTTTAATATGACTTCCACGTAAAACGTTACAGGGATGCAGGGTGTTAAGTATCTAATGGCGCAAAATCGATATCTCCCGCTGCCTTCGTCGCGCTCCCATTCTCACTATTTTCACGTTAAGTGTACATATGTATACACCAATCTCTTGCAAATTTAATCGTTTTTCCACAGAAGTGACGAGATTTCCGAGATTTTGAACAGAAAAAAAGTTATGAGCGAAAAATAGGGAAAAACCGTAAATTTTAGGCGTTTTTTCAAAATGGCGGCCGGGGGAGGGGTCGGATCTGTCAGGCAAGTTGAAATTCGGATTCTACGACCTAAAAAACATAAAGTTAGCCCATAACTGCTAGTTCGACTAAACTTTCCCTCAAAACCCCTATATTGATCTCTATTGCCTGGACTATAGACCCAACCAGCAAGAGAGCTAAATGGACCAATAAAGCGTGCATATGAGCCCGGTTGAGTTTCTGCGCGTGCATCCAGTCATGCAGCAGCCACTCGTCATCTTCAACTTTTTAAAATAATTTCCTAAAGTAGATTTTTTTCTTTAGCTTACCACCATTGAATTCCGAAAGTTTATTTTTGAAATTTTTGTATTTTTTTAAAAAAAAAATTGAAGGTTGATAATTTAGTTTTTTAGAAAATTTGTCTCAATTATTTTCATGCAAGTAATCGAATGGTCTTAAAAATTGGGTATATGGGCTAGGAATTGTAATTCCTAATTGAAAAATGAAGTCTACTTAGTGATACTCACATTAGGAGCAGAAAACTTGGGAAGGGAGGAATCGTCTTCTTCCAATAAGTTAAAGCGTTCTCGCTCCTTCATGTAATGTGCTTTGCGCTCCGATTTAGTCGCTACATGTATTGGAATTATGACTTTTCTGTCATTTAATCTTGTTTTTATATCAGCATTGATGGACCTCGCAGTCTGAAATTTAATCAGATAGGAGTTAACAAACAAAATTTCATGAAAATGAATGACTCATGGACAATTAAATTATGTTTGAAACTGCCAAAAAACACAAAGAAATTAATACAGAAACGAATGAGCCATTTTACAAATATTTACAGGAAAAGACCGCAATGTTGCCAGAGAGTCACTTCTATGGTGGGTTAGCCTTCTTTCTATACATCTGCAGAGGCTGTAAAATGGCTGTCTTCATTTAGTAATAGAATTTTTCAAGCGAATGTTAACAACACAAAATGTTTTCCACCAATAAACAATTACATTTTTTGCTTGTTCATGTTAGAGAAACTAAGTCTTAAAACTACTACACCATGAAAATCATAGGTGTACAAACTTCCCGACCCGACTGTATTGGTTGCTCAAAACATAATTGGAATTTTGACTGTTGATTTGTATAAAGGAATAAAAAAGTAATAAATATAATATTTGAATGGGCCTTTTTTCCAGACAAGGCTCGGCTCTGAAAAAAATATTTGTAGATGACTTTGAACTTAAGACAAAAAAAAAAAAAAAAACAAACATACTCACACAGAATTCAAAAAAGCCCTACTTATCAGGTCTAACTCCTCTATGACATTCATTCATTACTTACTGTCTACAACACATAGATTAATTGAAAAAAAAATTTTACTTTTCTTTCTACTCATTTTCCGGGTAAGAAGATAGAAGTCGTCTTTTCTGCAGGAATACCAGATCTTAATTTCCTACAGAATAGCGTGAATCCAACATTCTTCTACGTGTCATATTTTATTTAAAGTTCTCAAGTAACGTTTTTAGCGTATAATTTTTTCTTGCCTATTCTTGTATTCGTCCCTGGCATACTCCCGCAAAGTGTCACTTACATTTAGTTATTGCTCAGAGATAAATACCTAGAAGATAATCTTGAAGGGCCCTGAAGAAATTTCTTTCGGAACGATGATTTCAATTACGTTAAACTCAACCGAAAGAAGACTTGTAATACATGTTTGTTTGTTTGTTTTTTTTTCCCTTTTTTCTTTTTTTTCTATTGAGGAAATAATGCAAACAGTGAGGCCCGCCTCTTTCTTGGCAACAATAGTGTTAATAGGAGGCATACCGTAGGTAAGTTCCAGTACTCGTCACATTCAATGTCTGGGATATCACTGACCCGTATTTGGCTTGCGTCTTCATGGTTTTGATAATTTACTCTGTCACCCTTTATCCTATCTTCACATTTCTCCGCCATGTGATACTGAAACAATCAATAGGTAATTAAACATTCTTTAGCGTCTTTTGGAGATAGAAAATCTCACTTTCTATAATTGATCCAACCGTGGAAGATGATTTTTTGATAAGACAACTATGTTGTCTATTATCTATGGGTATAAAAAGAGACAATGTACACTATTAAAAATCTACTCTCTGGGAGGCGAAACCTTTCACAAAAAGCTAACACCATGCATTAATACATCACAAAAACAAAGCGTTCGTTGTTGCCTGTCGGAGTACTTCAATGACTAAGGCTAACAAAAGGGTATCTCTATTAGTAACATTGTTTATTTCCGTTCATATTTTGTTTTTATTTAGAGAGGTCGAATTTGTCTTGTTTTATCGATAATTGCTCAGTAAAGCATCTTCAAAAAAATCCAGCACTTTCAAAACCTAGGGGGTTCTCTTAAGAATAAACATTTTTATAAGTACTTTCCAAGGCTTTACAATCCCTGTAGGATAGACAATTATAAAAGAACGGATGACTTAATACTCACATTCAACTTCTTCTCCGGGACAACATGATTGAAATTGTAAATGCAGTTTTTCATGTCGTGGTGCGGGTTTTCTTTTTCGTACTGCCTTCCACACTTAACTAAGTGCAGAGGCATTCTGAAACGCAGTATTCTGTGCGAACGGTTGTACGGGCAGGTGAGCAGCTGCTCCGTATACAGTTTTGACACAATTGGTGTACACATTTTTCCTGGAACTTCTGAAAGTAATTTTAAATCGCAATTGGCGTTAATATGTCAATATTCTAAACTAACTGCAAACTTAACATGCAGTGAACAAACGCAATAATAAACCTACTACCTACACAGCTTTGCCGCCAATTATGGCTGGTGACATTTTGTAATTTGATCTCTGATATACCTATTTGACAATGTAGCAGGTTTGTAAAGATATTGTAATGGCTTTGCGGAAAACGTTGAGACAACATTTTGTGATAAATTTCTGGCTGATTATAGAATTAATGTGATTGTCATTGGTATCCCTATGTGGCTCCATCGATGCGCTAGAAATATTAATTTCTTATTACAAAATGAAATCCATTTGTCTGTCCTAATGTTCAAAAAAAGTGTCAATAAGAATATGAGAGGAATGAGTTTCTCAATGTAGAAATAGAGCAGAACTTATGTCAAGTGTTAAGCGATTTGGTTACAAGCATTATCTATTCTAAAATATATCATTTCAGAAAAACGCAAAAAGTATTGTTTGATCCAGAGAGATATTTACCACATACCTAAGCCCACCAAGTCTGCATAAATTTAAGTGTTTGCACCCGAAAGGTTACATTTATTGCTGGATTTTGATTGTCTTTATCATTGTTTAAATTGTGAAAAATGTCTGCTATCTTATGTTGTGACGTTTAAGTGGATCTACAGGAAAGTTTTCGGCGCTCTGCCACCACGTCGCGCTAGCAGTGAAAGTGGGACTGCGACAGACTGCTCAGCAACTGTCTTTGTCAGTTAGCAGTTCGTCACTCACAATCAGCGCGGACTGAACGGTCGCACGCGTTTCTCCTCCTCTTTCAGTATCGATTCCTGCTCATAAAATTGAGGGAAGCTAAATTGACGTGAATTGGCGTGATTGACGTGAGATGTGAAACTCCGAAAATCCATCAGGCCTTCACCGATGCTTCGGTGAATAAAGTTAAGGCCCGGAAATGCAGCCAACCTATGAATTTCATTTATCCAGGACGATTTGCTAATACTATTGTTACGAACCGTCGTTTATTAAGCACGTTTTTTACTCAGTTTTTGCATAAATTTACTCAATTTTGCGGAAGAACGCTCATTTATGTACATTCTTGGCCATCTTGGTTAGAATCGGAACCTGCAGACTGGCAGTGAAATTTTGTGCGTTAGAAGTTGGTTAGAAGGGTGGCTGCACTTTTGGGCCCTAAGCCCTCCATGAAGCGATCTGCCCATACCCTCGCTATACAGGTACTCTAAAGAGGGGGCGAGGGGGTCCAAAACAGATCTTTTTTTCATTGCTTTTTAAATTGAGTTTAATTTTTTTCTCCATAGTTATATTCTTGAATTTGTGGCTAAGTGATCGGCTAACGTAGGCTTTAGCATTTTTCTGAACAATGGAAAAAGCGATGGCAAAGACAGTGCTATTTTTGGCAAGTCTTTGACGAAAGAAAGTTCCGCAACCCAACAAGAACCAATTTTTCTACAGCACTGAACGACTCGCCGGAGGATAAATTGACAGGAAAATAAAAATTATCACACACAGAATAGGTACCTACTAGCACTTTTCTTCCTACTTTTAGTTCATACGACACGATCAAAATGATTGCAATAAAGTTAAAATTCACTGTGCGAGTTTATGAGCTTTTGACCATGATGCAAAACAGACAAATAACCTGAAATGTCAATAAACCTGTTGTTGTTGTTGTGGCGAACAATTTGAATTTTAAATTGACCGAGTGATTGAAAAAGCTTGTTGTCCGACTGATCAGATACAACACTTTCTCCGTCGATTCGCGACAGAATTGCAAGTTCTTGGGGTTGAATGAAAGAAGAGAGTCTGATCTCCAGACTGAAATCCTTGGATTTTGAAATTAAATGTTCTAATTTTTAAAATTTACCGTCAACTGAGAGGATCGTCAGTGAACGGCGGAGATTTCTTGTAGGGAACAGTACTCTTTCAACCACAACGCCATGCATTTTGATAACGCTAGGAAACAAAATTTTGGGTTGAAGTTGCTAATTGAACGGGACCTGTTTTTTTCTACTCAGGGGAGGGACAGGTATCGGGCCTGGTACAGTTGACGTTAACTGACCAAAGGGAGAGTATTACAAAAAAACTAGCGAGTTATTTGAAAGAAGAAAAAAGGATGACACCAGAAAATAACTTGAAAAGCAAACATTTCAATATCCATGTTTCGATCAACTATTCTTAATTGCGAGTTTATTGTAGAGAAGTTCATTGTGATTAAAAATTTGAACTAAGTGGACAGAACAAAATAGGCAGATCATTTAATAATCAAATATATCTCAGAAAAAAGAAAAATAATTGGTTCAATCTGTGTAAAAGCACTTTCAGAATTTTGTGAGAAAACAATCAATTTTTCTCAACGACGGAGCGATAAAAAATTATGTATACAAATATGATTCTTGCCTTGTTATTTTTTATTATTGTCCGACACCAATAATCTAAAAAAAATCAAAAAATAATACTTCATTGAAGCTAGCAAATTTTGAAATAAGGACGATAAAAACTAACCTTAAAATCGATGATGTAGCATGAAATAGCAGAACGAATAACAAATTACCAGGCAAGTTAACGTAGAGTATGTGGACAATGAGTAGAACCAGGGGTCAACGGAAATTTTGATACCGAATTGAGGGCACCTGTCCCTTTGTAGGTATATAAGGGTTGGTCAAGTCGATAGGCCACTCCCATTGTCTTGACTCGAAGGGTGGGAGTACCTAAAACGAATTCAAGTAAAACCAGGACCTCAAAGTGGCTGTTTGTGCTAGGCACTAAGGCCAAGTCCTCATATGGGCGAATCTTATAAACAAAAAACAACAGAACCTCGAATCTTGCAACGCTGGGTACTCACCTACGTATTGCACTGTCCTTAAACTCCTCCTTTCTGTAGCTAATGACACGCAAGTTCAAGGCCATCGCTTGTTACCGTGAGCATCTCGACCTCGTTTACGAACTTCGATGCCTCTTTTCCACTTTCCTACTGATCAAAATGATCATTTTTACGATTTTCTTCAGTGGAACTCACAAATTCCTCAGGGAATATTTGTATATTGTGAGGGTCTCCTTCCTGAACCTCACATAAGGCTGACTTCTCCTCAGATTTGCGAATCTTGAGCGCGTCGGGATCCCCACGCTCCGTAACGGGCTCGACTATCCCTTTGCTTGCGCCAATTTCCTCATAACTATCTGAAACACTGCTCAAAGATGCATTAGACCCAACATTCGAATCATTAAAAATCAGACAAGGAGTGAGCCTGCTCTGTGACCTCCTTAAATTCGGAAGAAAACTTATCGTTCGAATAAACTTCTTGCTTAAAGTTTTTATCCTGCATGAAATTAACACCTCTTATGTAAATAGGCTCCTGATCCACAGTATCTAAATCTGGAATATCATATGCAAAGTCGTTTAAAATCACTTTCTTTTTACCAAAATTTCTCTCTCTCTTGCTCGGTCTTGCCCTCTTGTAATCGTTCCTTGGCAAAATTTCGGTGTCCTCATCAGAAAACGTCCGTTTTGAGCCGCAGGCCGTAGTTTCGCCACATGCTCCAACATCGCTCCCGGGAAAAGACTTAGGACTTGATTCAGCTACCTTGTGTTGTCGTAGCGTTTTAAACACAAAGTTCGCTATTTTCTGACGTGCCGGCTCGGACAACTCACGAGTAACCCAGTCGGGACTTACTACTGTCCGGAATTCGTCCGCACCTAACTTCGCCAAAGATTGATAAATGAGATGGCGACACCTCCCCGCATTCTCTCTCAAAATTGCATTCACGATCTTGTTCAAAGGATCGTACTTAGGCATGTGTTGATGCGGCACACTGAATAAAAATACAGGCCTTTCCTTGGCTATTGCTTCCAGACGTTCCAATGACAGGCCGCTGCCTATCTTCTCAGGTTCCTGTACGGCCCCCCTCAGGTCCAGTACGTTTAATGAACCAGCCATGACAATGATAACGTCGCCTAAGCGTTGCTCGTCGTTCTGCTTTGAAATTTTTTCGACAATGTCTTCAAATCTGTCAATCCTGCGCCCGTTTTCAGAGACCTCGAAGTCTTCACCGAACTTCTGGGCGATGTTTGAAACCAGGGATTTTGCAGTGAAGTCCGCAAAGATTTGAATCCGCTTCCTTGGAGATTTTGCGACGTTGACGCGGTCCTTATCCTCATGTTTTGCGGGTGTGGTTATCCCAGTCCTTTTTGTGCCAGAACCTGTCGAAAATTTTCCCGGTTAGCCGCTAATCCCTTCACACGCGACCAGTTTATCCATTTTTTGTTCTTAACCCACTGAGTCCTTCCCACCTTAGACTGACTTAGTGCTCTCGTCACCTCCAGCTGGGCTTGACTTTCTCGAATAAATTCTCGCCATCCACGGAGGAGAATTTGCCTGAAACTTTGGCCCCTATTGCTAGGCTGGAAAGTTCGCTCCCGGTTCTGGTTCATGATTGGGCTTTGGTACCTCATTCCGGTGTCAAATCTCACCTCCTTTCACGTGTTCTCAATTAAACCGGCATGAAGTAGTATGGACTCGGTCAGTTTCGCTTTGTGTTTACTGGCATCAGCGTTTTCGAAACCTCTCTCGGTGCCATGAACGCAGGGCCCCATTCTATTACACTATGTAAAGAAACTTAGTGCAAGCAGCAGATGTATAACTCAATTGGTAGAAACATCATCGAATATATATGTGTTTCTAATAGCTGTTACCATTTCGAACTCATTGAAAGCTCTAGAAGATTTTTCGGACTTGTAGACCACAGTTATTCGGCGTTACAGATTGAAAATCGATCAAAAGTTATCGAATTCTAGCGGTTCCAAATTTTCAACACCGCCTTACCGCGGGCGATTTTAGTAGTGCTAAACATTCATGTGTTTCCGATGGCTGTACATTGGAAGTCATCCAAAGCCATCGAATTTCTTCAGTGGCAAATTTTGAACACCGCCTTACCGCGGGTGATTGCCCGGTTTATTTCTTCGGAAATCATGTAA